AAAAAAAAAAAGAAGTCATTACTTGGGGTTTAATTTGTCAAATCAGCTGTAAAACTGCCAGGTTTTTATTTATTCGATCCAAACACGTCTGGCACCTGAATAGCTGCCTCTGTAGCTCTTGGCCTCTGACTTCATGGTGCAGACCTTTTGAAAGTCTTTTCATTCATGGTTTGTTTTCAGGGATGTATGGCCAACATGTAACTGTACATATCAGTAGTAAATCAAACACACAATGAGAAACATATACACTGAACTCTGGTCAGTTGGTCCACACACTGAGACAGACACACAACAACAGTCTGTCTTCAAGTCTGCCTTCGGTGGCCCCTCATGGGTGAAGGTCTTACAGATCCCTCTTCCTGCGTTTGTTTTGCTGTCTCTAAGACTAGGATGCTGTAGCCTCACAGTGGTGACAGGGAGTGGGTAAGATATGGCACCAGGAGCCCGAGTTTCCTCCAACTGTCGCCACATCTAGATAACCTTGTTCTGAGAGGGGCGGAGGAGGAACTGACAAGATCTTGGTGGATTTTATTTTGCTTATATTGCTACTGATTATGTGTGGGGTTAAAGTGCACTTTTAATAGAAGGAAAAATGACTTGTAAGTGAGCAATGTTCCTGGCAAGAAAAATGTAAGAAACAGCGAATTCTTCCTGCTTCTTTAGTACCACAAAAAGGTTGGTTTAAGATGCCCTCGACCTACGACAACATCTCCCATTAATTCATTGAGAAAGTTTTGTTCCATCATTCCAACCTACGGAAACCTGGTGCAAGTGGACCGTCACTTTACTCTATACACAGACAACGCCTTTGTTTACATTCACCTGTCATACATCCGTCACTGGACTGTGCTACATTTGTTTTCTTTTTATGTTGTTTTCTTGGGTACTTTTTGCCCTTCATTATGGTTCCCAAAGGTAATCCACACAGATTGAGAAGTGGGTTTACGCAAGGGGACTACTGTCCAACCAGTGTTTCCCAAACGTTCTTTAGAAGAAGTGTATTTGCTGGTTGCTGCTGGTGTTTTTAATGGTCGTTCTGTTTAACTCACACCTCTCAGTCAGATTACTGACTTTATGACCGGTCTCTATTTGTGCTACTGTTACAGTGTAGTGTGTGGCATCTGGCAGATAAACACTGCAGTGCTGTTTTAATTGCAAACTTAAACAAGAGATGAAGTCATTGCACCACTGTGTGCTGCTGTGGTCCTCTCGCTCATCTGCTGCCACTCTTTCATTCAAGCCATGCTGTTCTAACAAACACAGACACAGGAACACGAGGCCACACAGTGAGCAGACCTGGACGCAGATTAACATGAAACCAGGAACTAAACACTTTAGGGAGGCTGCCGTTTTTTCTGGATAATTCCAAAATCTTGTGCTACAATGTTTTTTTTTCCTGGTTGAAATGATGACATTTATCTTCTCATTCCAAATTCAACAATTGTGTTGGTCCATTTAGTTTGTTGTTGTGAGGCAAACTTTAAAAATACATGGAACTAACAGTAATGTGACTCATTACAAAAACTAAACAAAAACTGCGAAATAAAACAGAGTCACACACAGCACACAATGAATGGAACAGCAATGAAGTGAAAGCAGGAGGACAGCTACATATACACACACCAGAGGGCAGGATACAGGTGGAGCTCATCAGGTAATCATGGCAGGAGCAGCCACAGGAGAACAGGTGCAGGTGATGACACTGATGACGTCGACTGCCTGGAGACATGACAACCCAGAGGTTTTATTTTCCAAACCTTTCAAGACCAACTGTTGAATATCTATTACTGTCCTTACTCAGGATTTGAAAAATAATGAACATTAGATCTCTGTCTATATAATATTAGAAACATTCCTACAACAGACATTTCAACCAAGTTTCTCAAAGTAGGGGGAGCGGAGCTGTTGCAAGGACACAACAAGACAAAAGCCTCTATTTCATTATTTGATCTAATAATGTCACATTCAGCTCATTAGTGCTGATCTAATGAGGTCGTCTGTGGAAACTGTCTGTAATTTTTGGGATTTGGATCATGTGACAGGAAGTTACCTCACTGTTATTATCAGTTCCTTGTGTTGTACCGGCCAGGTCCAAAACAAAGCCGTCAAAGACGGTCCCAGAAGAGATGAGCGTTTCAGTCAGGGTCACAGTCAGCTGTTCCAGTTATCGTCAGTCTAAATGTGTAGACGTGAGTAACACAGTCCAACACAGAGGGCAACAAATTGACCGTCTGTCTTTTTGGATTCACCTGTTCGTTAAGGTCTGACAGCTGAAGTCAGATTGAATATATACAAATACAACAACGGCTAATCATTATGTGTCTTCTGCTCTGTAGGAAAGATCATTACTTGTGGTGTTAATGAGGCCTTGTTGAAGGGTCACATTTTCCAAATAAAACATCTTTTATACTTTATTCTGTTAGTATTAGAGTCTGAATGACCTTTGACCTATTGTTTTGAAACATTGTTAGATTATCATTTAATGTAAAAAGTAAAGGCACATGAATGAAGATTTTTTTTACTGTGTCCCACTGTGGCCCAGTTCCAAATAACCTACGGACCAGCACCAGTCCCCGGACCAGGGCTTGGGAACCTCTGCTTTATAGGGTTCAACAAAAGTCATATTCTGAGGGATGCTGCTGTCTGATGACCACATTAGCAGTAATGGTGGTGTGACTGACAGGGAGTACATGACCAAACATGTCACAGAGGTGAGTGGTAGTGAGTCAGACAAACAACAGCAGTGAGTAACAGACATGGACCAAGAAACTATGTTGACTTTGGTTTTTCTCACTGGAGTTCAACCAAACCCTTCCATGTCGCCTTCTTACACAGCGTTCTTTGCAGCAGCCAGTGGACGACAGTGACGAGGTGAATGAGGTTGAGATCATCAGTCAGGCACCTCCGTCCTTTGAGCCTGGTTTAACCCAGACATGGCTGAGGGAGGCAGGGTTGAAAATATAAAAAGCAGGCCAGGGTCAGGCTGATGGGGGTGGGGGAGGGTCTGACTAAAGCCATCCTGGCACTGGAGGCTTTTCTGTCATCAAACACACGGCCTATATTTAACCGGTATAAACAGTTGTTGCCTTTACTGGACTACTTTCAGAAAACCACTCTCACTACTGTCTTATAAAGCTTCCCGTTCAACTTTGCTGCTAGTCTTCTGTCTCATCACTCCTGATACCCGTCTCCATCCTTTCTAGATATTTAAACTCTTCCACCTTTCCTTCCTCCAATCCTTTCAGCTTTATCCTTCTACGTTCCTGATGATCTTCATTCCTCTTTGCTCCAAATCAAACTTCCACCTCACCAGGTTCTTCCTGCTCCCTATTCTCATCACAGGTAGCAACGTCATCTGCAAACATCATGGTACACAGAGCCACTAGCCTGACAACATGTGTCAACACAATCCATCAACGTAGCATAACAAAAAGGGGCACAGAGCTGATCCCTGATGGACACCTAACTACTGCCTCACTGGCTTTGTACATGTCCTGCACAACCCTCCACAAAGACGCAGTGCAGTTCCTTCATCAGAGAGTTGAATCCTAACTGCTGATAGATGTGTAATTAAAAAACCCCAAACCTTCTACTGACCGGATCTGCCAAACAGGATGTGACATGGTCTGTGAGCTTTTGTTTTCAGCAACTTCAGAAACTTCACAGCTGTCAACACATGAAGAAGGAAGACCAAACTTAGCATTAGTGCACAAATGAGGGTCAGGAAGGAAAGACAAATCAGGGTTAAAAAAAACAACAAAACAACAAACTTCTGTAAAATACATGAGTAAAGACTTTTCCAAAGCTCTGATTTACTGGACAAAATTAATATTTGCTTACAAACACGATAATGTTTTTGATACAGACGCACGCTTATGTTTCCATTCAATGACAATGGAGACTTGATTAGTTGATTGGTCAAGATCAAGCCTAACAAATGCCAAACAAATTGTCTTAGTTGAGGAAAAAACAGTTATCGTCATCAAGGGCAAATGGACAGACAGCACACCAGCAAATACATCGACCACAGTAACAGAGCCTGATTTTCTGCATGTGTTCTAATGTAATCCTGTTCCATGCACCCTGTTGTTCCTTCTTCCCTTTGTTACTTCATATCGTCTGCCTCTGAACGCCATAGAGACAGAAGCAAAATGAAACTCAGAGTCAGTGTATGCCCTGTATGTAGTAAAGAAAATGACAATAAAGTCGAACCTTCAACCTTGATTATATTCCATTATATTTCACATTGTCCTTGAGGTCAAGTCGCACTATTTGGCACACTTAATATAAAGTCAATATGTAACATTTGCATAATCACAAAAAATAAAGTATTATCAAGTATTACATTAATAATACCATAATATAATACAGGCTAATTAAAGAGGAAGGTGTCAACCAAACATGTGAGATGAAGATACAGTAGAAGAGTCATGTGTGTCCTCATCACACAGTGACAATGATATAAATGTCTTTCAGTGAACACTGACCCTTCAGCAAGGAGGACCCACTCATGAAGACCATCATGTAATAATAGCATGTATCCACAGGCAGGCTGCAGAGCTGGGTGATAATCCTGGTCTACTGCAGCACATGGACGGGGGGAGGAGAGGAGGAGGAGGAGGCAGGGGCGAGGAAGAACTGTCAGCTATTTACATTTTCTTTTCCCCTTTATTTAAAAGTGTCCCTGGGATTTAAGACGACGAAGGAACAAGAAGAACATGGAGAGAGTCGGTACGTTCCTGTTCAAGGTTTATGTCAAGCTTTTTGATACTGGGAAAATAATTAGCTACTCCTTTAAAATTTAGGAATTTCAACCAAATTCCTGGACCAACACTTGTGGAACTTATCTGGTGCAATCAGCGTGAGTAAAAGCTGTGTGGAAGTTTAGTCTTGAGTGGAAGTCCCACAGAACAATTCCACTTCCTCCATTTTAGTCAGAAAATGCTTCCCAGCAGAACATAAAGGACCAGGGATGTGAGAAGAAAAGGAGGGTGGAGGAAGACGAGGAGAAGAAGGAGGAGACAGGAGGGGAGGGAGATGGGAGGGGGGTCTGAACTCCTTTGATGCCACTACTTTTCTTCTCGTGGCCCCAGTGTGGACCAACAGTTTGCTGTGAGGAATCAGCCGGCTGTTGCTAAGAAGAAAAAAAGTTGGTTCTCCACCAACTCACTGATTTTCACCTGCCATTTTTTCTTAAGGAAGACTCATCTCATCGAGACCCAGACATGGAGCCTGTGTTTCTCTAACTACCGACGTCAAGGAACAAGGAACAACAGGTAAGTCATCCCAGAAATGTTAGATGTTTAGATAGATCACAGGAGCTCTTATGAAGATGAGAAGGACAGAGATCTGAGTAAACATCCGACTTCAAAACCGTGTAAAGTCGCGCCCGCAGCAGCACAGTCTCAGAGGAAGCTACGTTTCCCAGGATGAGAGTGTGGGAGTCCTGGTGTGTGTTAGCATCGTTCCTGTCATCCCAGACAAGTACAGCTGTCATCGCATTTACTGTCAGTGCTTTAATCTCTCCACGTCTGACTCCCCCCGCCCCCCTCGCTCTCTCTCTCTCTCTCTTCATAACTCCCAGATGGGAGACGTGTATTCAAACAAAAAGGAGATTTTAAAACACCGGTGTCTTTAGGCTGAACCACAGCAGAGACACATCACAGTGGATTAGTCAGTTATATCGCAGGATATTTGCCTTCTTCGTGTGTGTGTGTGTGTGTGTGTGTGTGTTTCTGCAGAGTCTAAAGTGCCAAAAGTCAAAAAAGTTCCAGGACAGGTGTTGTGTTTTCAAACATAGTCTTTATGTTTTAACAACAAAAACCTGTAAAGACGCATCGAAGTTTATTGTTATTTTACATTTATAAAACTGAATGGAAACCTTAAACTTAAAATCAATTTGTAACTTTTACAAAACTGAGACCATTAAGAATCTCATTCCTCAGAAGAGGCAAGGAGTTCATTTTTGACACAGCGTTGGAAGAGACATGACCAAGAAGGAATTATCTGATAGAAAGAGAAAGTTTTGAGGATTAAATGGAGATATAAAATGTATTGTATTGAAATTTATTTTAATGAACAAATATTTATTGCCATCTGTCTTAGGACATTTTGATTTATCCCCATATATGGCTGTTAAATAATAAATAGATTTAAACAAAAGCAAAGTTAATATTGAATCAATAATTCCATTTAAAAATGTAATAGGTAAAAAAAAGGTATTCTTTATTCCTTTATCTGATTACCAGCTGAAGAAAAGGTAAACTGTAATTTCATATTTAGCTTTAATCACATTAACAGGCGGCTTCACTGCAGAGATTTATTATAGCTGCCAAATAAAGTGGTAGAGTTCAACTCTGACCTTTCAGTTCTTTTTAAACCACCCTGTTGAGATCTGGACCCCAACTCCATTTTACAAACTTCACACGTCCTGAGGCAACAACCGTGTTGTGCCGGCAACTTGTGATTGTCTCAGAAAAACATGGAACAAGACACTGGAAGTGTATGACTTTCTGCCTCAGCGTGGGATGGTTTTTGTAGACAAACTCTATAGTGCTGTTGAGCCGTACACCTCCAATCCCAGTGCACAGTAAATGTACATTTATGCACAATAAATAAAAAACATATTTTCTCTTAAATTTGCCACTTATGTTTAAACAGTGTCCAGAAGTTGAACAAATGATTTTATTAATTCGGCAGCAGAAATTTGCGGGGGGTTGGGTGAGGGGGGGTTCTATTAGAACTAATCCTGAATATCTTGAACATCATAGCCCTGACTGTTTTATTGTTCAGAATGTTTGACATTTAAACTAACTCTGGAAGTAAGGAAGAAAAAATCCTTTAAAAAAATCCTTTAGGCTTTAATCTGAAAGTAAATAAAATGTGTGGTTTTTTCCACATAATACAAATAAACACAAATGTACAAAGAAGTTACTGTCTACAAATACTCCCATTTATTACTCATTAAAATGTGATGTGATAGTATAATTGGGTATGTGCACTGGATTACAAGGACAGCAGAAGTGTTTTTATAGTGTTCATATACATATATACAGTATATATAAAAAGAATATATATATATATATACAGAGAGAGAGGCCTTATGTTTTAGGTCTATTTCTTGAAAAAAAAAACCCAATAGACTAAAATGTGTGTATTTATTGTACCTCACAAATCACATACAATTGTGTGTCTTTAATAGTTCAGAATAACTAAGAGAAAACCAGAAGTGAAAAATCCATCTTTGTCCAGAGATGTCAACAGTGTCAGGATTTTCCTTCATCAAACACTCTGCAGCTGTCTTCCCTCCAAGTTCCCATTGAATACCACACAATGGATGCCAAACAATAGATCACAGCCGGGCTGTGTGTCTGTGTACAGTAGTGGGCAGAGGACGAGCCAGACGGCCATGTAAGGTAGCAGGCAGCACCTCGGCCCGCCGGCTCCTGCTGCTGCTCTGACTGATATATGGGCGCACAGATCCCTGCTGGACTCCTAACGGGGCGACAACAGGTGACCCGCACCAGTCAGGACGTTCACTCCACCCTTCATCTCACGTCAGATCCATTTGTAGGTGGCACTCAGCAACTCTGGTCTAAACCCAGCCTGCGTGGCTAAACTTAAACACGCTCATCCCTGACTGTAATCCTGGCTCTCGAGGGAGAAAAAGAACACATGACTCCATCAACTGTGCAGCTGTGGGAGTGCAGTCTGAGGTCGACGCTCACACTGGCGTCCAAGCCCACAGTTGTCACTGCAAAATTTGATAAACGATAAATCGTGTTTGTTTATATCTCTGTTGTTCTGTACATTGTACCTCAGTCACTTCATAAATCCTTAGTCGTCCCCGGGAAAGAAAAAAAAACGATCATCTCTCAGATGAATAAGTGCCGTGTCTGTTTAGAATCCTGCCATCTGTGATTCAAGGACTGGATGGAACATATTTACAGAACATGTTGTTTACATGAAACAGTTGCTGGTTGCCCTCTGCACCGTGGCACAACATCCCCACCACCAACTTCAACGTTTTAAAAAAACAAAACAACAACTATTTCTTAGAAACAGAATGGCAAACAGGAATAGTTTTTGACTGGCCCACAGTTTTAAAGAAAACATCTTTTTGTTCTGTTTTCAGATATATTTTTCTAGATGTTTGTATTTCACTTATTTGTAATACAGTTTTTTATCTCTTTATCCTTATTTGTTTTAGATATGTTGTGCAATATGATGACAGTTTGAAGTTTAGAGTCTTCAGAGACACACACTGCACTTTATCCTAATACACAGACAGCTGTGTCACCCAGCCTAAAGAAGTACCAGTGACAGTACTAGGTATCGACCAGTACACAAATGAAAATACTCATTACTACTACAATACTATTAGGACAATGAAAATGTCAACTCAACACAGAAATACATCAGTCACCACACCCTGTCACCATGTGGCCTTTGACTGCGCTGGACAAAAAAAATCAAGACCTTTTAAATGCAGCATCCTAAGAAGTAAAGTTTGAAATAAAAAATAAATAAATAATGTTCAATGATGAAGTTTTAAAATTCCTCCACGAGAGTTTGTCATCAGGCCAATTAGACAGAGTGAAGTACTTTAGGAATCTAACGTCAGGCGAAGCCGTGTGACCAAATACAGTGTGAAAGGTTTCTAGGAAATTAATGACTTCTTCTTCTCATCGTTCCTCCTGCTGTTGGAAACAGAGCATTGAGCGTTTTAAAGAACAGAGTCTGGAGAACCTGGGTGAGATTATCCACAAAAAAAATCCACTTCACCTCTGCAATAACACGACCGTACTTAATGTACACCACCATGTACTCACTTCTTCTTCCCCTGATGGTTGTCCAAACATGTCCCATAAAGTCAAGCTCGCCAGGAGAATGTACACCGTTCCAGCTAATAGCTTATAATTTTATGAGGACAGCCTGTACACGGCAGTGTATCTGCTCCTCGATGAGCATCGGGAGTCTGTCAAACATGGCATTATAGCAGAGCAAAGGTGCACATCACTGGAGGAATGTTTAAATTCACCTTCAGCCTCTGCTGTGTGGAGATACAGTACCACAGGCAGACAGGAAGTAGCCAGAGCTGGAGAACACTCTGGGTCCTGACTTGAACCTTTACTTGAAATAAAATATATCAAGACCTTTTCTGTATATATATATATTATTATTATAATAATTAATGTAAACTTAAACTAATAACACACTCATTTAGATACTGATGCCTTCGACGCACTCTGTTTGTTAATAAAGCCAAACACAGAAATCCAAGTGAAAACTGAAGTGAGTCTTGGCTCAGAGAACAGAACAGAACACAAGAAGAAGCAGAGAAGGAACAGACCTGGAACTCCAACATACAGAGAACAAACCAGAGTGATCCAAAGACAGAGTGAGGGAGAGCAGCAGAGAGAGAGTCAGGTCAGCAGGTCGGCAGGTGGATGGGTGAGGCTGATTAACAGACGAGCACAGGTGAGAGGAATAAAACTGATTAACCCAGGAGGGACAGCCAGAGCTGAGTTTGTTCTGTTCTTTACTTCCTACCACTCTGTTACAATGTACTGTATGTACTGTATATTCTGTATTATTTAAACTATTATTTGTATTCAGGGAGGGTTATTCTCTATCATTGTATGATTCCAAAACTGTTTTATTACAATATATTATTTATTATTTACATTTATCATACAATGCGGTGTCGCCACAATACAGCGCAGGTTTATTTTCATTAAAAGTTTGTACTGTCGTGGGGCAGAAACTCCTGATAAATGGATGTGAGTTCAGATTAGATTAGATTAGATTAGATTAGATTAGATTAGATTAGATTAGATAGACCAACACAATTCTATAAATTGACAAACAGCAACAGCCCTAAGAAATCAACAACAAATCCAAAGTCTAACCAAAGTTGATGTGACCCGATCCCTAACGTCATCTTTTCATGGCGAGTGCAGCCCGACTGACACGTCACTAAGAACTGTTCATATTCAGGACCAGACTCTGGAGTTTCTCTGTTCTCCTCCAGTGCACAGTAAAAAACATGTCTTGATGGAGCGATTCTCAAACTGAAGTCAGTGTCCTCTGAGGTAGAAACTGGAGACTGTCCCAACAGGCTGGAGGATTTATTGTTGTGTTAGAGGGAAAAACAGCCTGTGTTCCTGTTGCTCCGCAGTGAAAACAAGCAGCAGCAACAGCAGCAGCTGTAGCTGTAGCTCTCTGAGCACTGATTGGTCGCTGCCCAGGTCAGAGCAGCATCACTGAGACGACTCCAAGAAAGCACACATTCAAATCTACACAACTCCACCACATCCGCCAGCGACTAAACTCAACTCCGAAACAATGGTGGCCATGTTCTCCTTTTAACCCAGAGAACATCGTGGCTGCACCTTTTCCTCCGTCACCTTTTTATACCTTGTTCCTTTTGTTCCTCGGAAGTCATATCGTTAAGGATTGTTTCCTCTGAGAACAGGAAGTGGCGATCGCAGGAAGGAGGCTGGCTTTTCCTAGCAGATATGAATTTCAGTCATAGAGTTTAGAGAGTGTAGAGTTTCTGCTACAGCTCTCTCCCACCGCCCGCATGTCATTACATATCAGCTGCCACAGGGCTGTTGAGTTTTAACCAGAATGTCGGGCGTTCGATTTCTGTTCTTGTTAGTCCCTCGACCAAACACTGAGTAAATAGAGAGCTAGAAAGTAGTAGTAAATTAGTGCTGTAAAACGCTCCTGTAATCTGGTGGCTGTGGATTAGTCGTGACTGATCCAAATGATGGAGTTATTTACAAGAAAAAATATCAAGAAAAAAAATGCGTGAGAATGAGAGGCCAAGACTTACTGCCAAAAACATCACTGTGGACAATTGCACTCCACAACACACATTACAGATACCAGTTAAAATAATAAATGATCCAACTGCATTACCCTCTTACCCCAGCGAGGGGAGATAAATGAACCTGACATGACCCCTAATAACCTTCTGCCTTTTCTGGAATAGATTTTTACATTTATTTTGTTATTGTTTCCTCAGTGTTGTCAGTCATATCTGATATAAGAAATGTTCCCACCCCCACCAGTGGACCAGTGTGACGTTAGTGGGAATCACTAACGTGCTGGGCCTCAGACATTTTAATGTCGTGTGTTTGTGTAACAGTCAACACGCAGCCTGGTTTGAAGACTTCCTTTCCCACATTTTTTTGAGGGGGGGGGGCGTTTCTTATCTTGATGAAGCAGAATGTTCCATCCTATTTCCATATATATACTCAGAGACCCAGGGGTGAGGAGACAGAGGGACAGATATCAAAGGTTTCAGATCTCTGCTGACTGGACGGTTGAACTGTTCGTCTCTGAGAGGGAACTTAATATCCATTGCTTTTTGACTTATTTTCGCTCCGTGTCGTTGCAGTGATCATACTGTATATTCCTGTTCTATCTTTAAAGTCACAGTTTGTCTCAACACAGACTGAGGAACGTACGTGTTCCCAGTCACATGTGCGACATGTTGAAAAAACCTGTCAAACACCAGCCCTCTGTCTTCAGCCCACCTGTCTCTGGGCCGTGACTGCACAGTAAACGCTGTGTGAAGATGTCACAGGTCGACCCTCGGTGGAGGGTGGTGGGTTTTCCTCAAGCCGTCCATGATGGGGGTCATTTATGGCGACCATTTATGGCGACCGTAAAGCTGTCAGCAGAACTGCCTTATAGGGTCGTTCTGTCCTCTGACCTGTCACCGACTGCCATGTTTGGGTCCGACTGAAGCTCTCGCTAATGTCCAAGTCAAAAGGCCAACGTGAACACACTCACACAGAGAGATATTAGAGCGAGGCTTTCAGATGGAGACGCTGGACATCACAGCTGCTCTTCTGCCATGTTGAGTGACGTCCAGTGGTTATGTGGTGAGGACGGCATGAGGACAGTGCTGGCCTAAATGTAGGGTCACAGTATTTGAAAGACCTCTCTCCTTGGGCTTCAAGAAACCAGGTTAACCTCTGTCTGTCATTAGAATGAAAGAAAGACAGAGAGGAGTTATAAAGGAAAAGAATATCGACCTTTCTGTTTATAAACACACACCACCATCAAAGAAGACTGTCACTGCTCTGTACTTGTGTTTACAGATGTGTGGTTTTATATAAAAGTAATATTGACTAAAAACTCTTTTTTCTTGTCCCTTCTTTCCTCTCAGGTGCTTCACTCTTTCATTTCCTCCACCTCTTCTCTTCAGTTTTCTCCTCCGTCTCCAGTTCAGTTCACTCCTAAAGCCCCGCTGCAGTTATGGGGGATTGGAGTCTCCTGGGGAATTTCCTAGAAGAAGTCCAGGAACATTCAACCTCTGTGGGAAAGGTCTGGCTCACCGTCCTCTTCATCTTCCGCATCCTGGTGCTGGGCACGGCGGCCGAGTCGTCCTGGGGCGACGAGCAGAGCGACTTCCTGTGTGACACTCAACAGCCCGGTTGCACCAACGTGTGTTATGACAGCGCCTTCCCCATCGCCCACATTCGTTACTGGGTGCTTCAGATCATTTTTGTCTCCACGCCCTCCCTCATATACATGGGACACGCCATGCACATAGTACGCAGGGAGGAGAAGCGACACAGGTTGGAGCAGGAAGAGAGGGAGACTAGAGGTGAGGAGGGAGGAGATCTGGAGGGTGAGAAGCAGTACCTCCAGCAGAAGGAGAACAGAAAGGAGGTGGTCTGCAGAGCTGATGGATCTAGTCATGTTCGCCTAAAAGGAGCTCTGCTGCAGACTTACATTCTGAGCATCTTGATTCGTACGGTGATGGAGGTGACCTTCATCGTGGTGCAGTACTTGATCTACGGGATCTTTCTGAAAGCCCTGTATCTGTGCAAGTCATGGCCCTGCCCCAACCCTGTCAACTGCTACATGTCCAGGCCTACGGAGAAGAACGTCTTCATCGTCTTCATGCTGGTGGTGGCGGGGGTCTCGCTGCTGCTCTCTATACTGGAGCTGTACCACCTCGGCTACAAGAGCCTTAGGAGGTGCATACACAAGAGAGTGGAGCAGAGAAGTAAGCACAGGGCTGTAACAGTAGCTGTGGAGCCCAACAGCCCTCCCCCACCTTCCTGCACCCCACCTCCTGACTTCAACCAGTGCCTGGCAGCTTCCGCCTCCATGAACCCCATGACTTCCATGGCCTCACACCCCTTCAACACTAGAATGGCGCAGCAGCAGAACTCGGTCAACTTGGCAACGGAGCAGCATCACAGCTGCGACAACCTGGAGGACGACGAGGATTTCCTGAGGATGAGGTACAACCAGGCACCGACGGAGCTGCCTAATAACTGCTCCGCGTCACCTCTGCTGCACTCCGGCTACATGAAGGACAAACGACGTCTGAGCAAAACCAGTGGGAACAGCGGCCGCACTCGTCAAGACGACCTGGCAGTGTGAGGTCAGAGGGAGTCGATCAGACTTTTAGAGCCAAAATAAGTGACTTTTTTAAAATTGAAAAAAGTGTCATTACTGAAAGAGATTAATTAAGGCCTCATCGTTAATGCCAGGCCATAATAATATATAAAAATATTATGCAACGATTGTGATGATTTAAGGATACACTCATATCAGTGAGTTAATTATTTCAAATAATGTGTATATGTAACATGAAAACCAGACTGCAAAAAAAAGGCTTGAAATGAGAACAGGGTAACAGGCGTGACACTGAATATTGCACATTTTATCAAATACTGAAACAGCTGAAGCCAAAAAAAACAAAACACTGAGGTGATCAATTTAGGGAAAATATTAACATACAAGTTACACTTAAACCAGCATGGACTTTTATTTTAATAAGCAAATCCAATCTCCCACATCTAAAGTCCCCACTTTATCTGAGGCTGGGGTTCTTCTGGCTCCATGACGGGCCATGTTAGTCTGGTTGGTCCAGTGCAGGTACAACAGATGTGGATGAGTATAGTTTTCTGGCCAAATATTGGACCTGAAGATGAGAGGCTGTAAAGTGGGTTCATCTGATGTGGGCAACTCACGACTTTTAGTTACAGTGATGTATTTCTGGCAAAAGACTAATTTGGTTGACAAAAATAAAAATCCTGGTCATAAAACAGTCAACTGTACGATAAAGTGCCTCATAAAATGAAATAAAAATGTTTTACTACTGGGGTTTTTTTGTTTGTTTGTTTGTTTTTAATATCTCCTCTGAAGTTAGGACGAATCTCTGATTTTGAATAAAGCCATTTGTTGATTTGTTGTTGGTTTAGCAGAGGTTATGCTTGCTATGAGACAATCCAGCCACTTGGTGGCAACATTGCACTATTTCTTTTTTTATGTTTTTCTCCTGGAGCTGTTACGTAAATGCTATTTGATACTATGCAATGTCTCTCACTGTAATTGTCTCTGAATGTAAATTATTTTTGCATTTTGTACATGAAAACGCTTTTTTTTAATTATTGGTTTGATGGTTAAATTAACACAGCAATAAAACAATACCATCTTGGTCACTGTATATTTACCGCAGCGTTTTTATTTCCCATTATGCAACAACGTCGTCACTAAGGAAACAAAACAGATTCTTGGGAATCGTTTGCTCATAAATTAATAAAATTCCAAATGTGTCATAGCCTTTTCTCGTGGATCTCACTGCCGTCAATGTCAACATCAAGATATGTAAAGACTAACTGAGGTTATCATAGAGCAGGTACAAACTGGGATGGAAACACGGTGTTATCATCTGTTAACAGGGAGGGGCTTAATAATCTTCATCGCCCTTTTATATGTAGAAAAAATGTTTTTTTATTATTATTATTATTTCATCGAGTCGTTTCTGAAAGACAGACATCCCTGCAGGCAGCAGATGGAGAGAGATTTTGAATATTTACACAAATACAAACAGAGCCAAGACTCTGGGAAAAGGCATTCAAAACACTTCACGGACTGGAACTGAAACGGATGCAACAGTTGGTGTTGATATTGTGTTTGTTTTGGTTGAAGCCACTGTTGTTCAGTGTTCCTCATTCATTCTTTAAGCTTATTTTAGCAGAAATTCAAATTGTAATGAGTCCAAGGATGATTTTATTTACAACAGTTAAGCTAGGATAGCTACCATGTCAATAATACTTATCTCCAATAACGTTTTAGATGTTGTAGTCATGTTTTTCTTTCTTTTGTTTTTAACAAAAGATTGTGTTGGCAAGGGTAACAACATTTTCTGGATATGGGGTCTGTATTTTTAATCCTACCGTACCATAAGATATAGTTTTGACAGCACAACTTGCAATAATTACCGATGTAGCAGGGAGCAGCAAGCAGTCATTGAAACAGCAGTGAAATAGGAGTTTGTACCTGGTGCTTTTCGCTAGAGGGCAGCAAATAAACCGTTATGTTTCTTCCCCGGAATTCTAAACGAAGAAGAAATGTAACTAGGAAGTGTGTGACACCATTGTCGGAAAATGTAGTTCAACGCCATTGACATTTCCGTTTGTTGACGAAGGAATATGAATTCTGCTTTACCACATTTCCCGACATTCTTTTCGGCACAACTGTAGCAAAGGAATAGCCGAAAAAACGAATGACCAGAATATAAGACTGCTACGTCTCTTGTGGTCTTCTTCTTATAAAAGTAAGTGACAGTTGTAACAAAAGTGACTGCTTTTATGTAGTGGAGGGTTTTTCAAGTGTTACTGACCGTTTGTACTAATCTACGCTTCCTGAATATTACTTACTTTGGTTTTGGTGTGACATGAGAGTGGCTCAGTGTATTCGAAACAAGTTTGTCGCAAACAAACTGTGTCTCAGTATGAATAAAGCTATGTAAATGTTTTCTATCTTAAAAGTTGTTTTATGTCTTATTTTGGTACCAGAGCAAACACGAGGCTGCTGGTGACTAACCTCACATTTAGTGGAATGTCTGGCATGACATTGCTACACACCTTAAACCTGTAATTACATTGTAAAAAAACAAAGCGCCACCCACAGAACAACAGCTATTGCTTTAAACTGGCACACACTACACGGAAGTGCGACAAATACAACTTCAGAGTCAACACAGCAAGTTGCTCCATGTTCCTACCCGAGAATAAACAAATTGAAAGCTACATGTACTATAACCAACGCTACTTTATAATCTATTCATTACTGTTTTGATTAGGATTTACCTTTATCAATGCATTTTCTTATGATTCATTCATTTAAGAGCCGCAGAGAGTGCTGTCAATGTGCAAAAAGGAGTGTTAAGCTATTTGTAGCTAGTCTATTACAGGGTTGAAATATGCACAACATATAATAATTATTAGAATATACAACTGGTACACTTTATCTGAAAAGAATGAATCGTTTTTTGAACAGTGTCACAGACTCTAACTTTGGGAAGTCAAAATCTACCCATTTAAATTTCCCATACGCCTAAAACAATGAGTGTAAAGATTATTTGGCCATTTGTCACTGTATGTGCACCATAAAGCAGACATATTATTATTATTATTATAGTTTTGTAAATTGATTGATTTCTGGTAGCAATAAAAACATTTTAAAGCTTAGCATAACAGGTAGTTGATTGAAAATGTGATTAATCAAAAGTGTTACACTGCACAGCTACCAACTGTGTCCTGATGACTTTGAGTTTATCCAGGGTTCATATTTTTTTTGTTTGTGGTTATTAATACCAACAAAGACAAATTGCTTAATCTATTCACAGCTCAGCCATGAGGAACCTTCTGGCCCGTGTTGGTGTTCTGGGATCAGTGTCTGCAGCCTTTGGCTCAATGTTGTTGTCACAAAAAAGCACTGAATCAGACAAGATCACTTCCAGTACCACTCCTGCTGGGACACATTCTAGTTCTCCCTATGAACTTAAACTGGTCCAAGTCCTGTTTCGACATGGCGCTCGAACCCCATTAAAGTCTATACCTAATGTCATGGAGGTGAGGCTCTTTGTATATTTATGCATTTTCCTCTTTATAAGAAAGATAGTATCACACAACAGCTGTGTAAAACTCTGTATGTCATTGTCTGTCTGGTCACAGGTCCAGTGGGTTCCCACACTGCTGGAGCCTCCAGCACACACTCACATCAACTATGTAGTCACAGACCTTCGTGGTGGCCCCAGACCCTCGTCTCCCGCAGAAGAAAGCTACCGGAAAAACGTACTGACGGTAAGTAGGTGTAGGAAGGTCTGCACTGGTTCAACGAACGGAAAATAATAATAAATCTGTCATTATTTAGATTATAGGATCTCAATGTTTAAAAGCATTTGGGGAGGTAATAGTTAAATGCATGTGGAGAGGAGGACATTGTTTGACAGTATGTTCCTAATGCTTGGTCGTATACATAAGTATACGTCTGCCTTTCTCTAGACACACAACATTATAAGAACGAGAAAAACGATTGATGGAATGCTTTTGTTCACATGCTTGGAACCTGGACGAGTTTATTCTGATGCCGATGTCAAACCACATTAAGACAAGTTAACTATCTGTTAAAAACAGAACAACAATTACACTAATCCGTATAAGGTAAATGGGTTTATACCCTGTAGACACAGACTTTGGTTCACCTCCATATTCACTCATTAGTTAAGGCATTTTTCCTCCCTCTAGTGGCCACCAAGGTTCATTACATTAACATTTGTTCAGTTTGGCAAATGAGATCCTAAAATATGAAATCCTGCCTTTCCCGTGGAACGTTCCGAACAAGGTGTTGTCAGTAATAAAAGTGCAACTCGGTTCTTTGTTTTCAGGGTGGCACATTCCCTGGTCAGCTCACTACACTGGGCATGCAGCAGCTGTATGAACTGGGCCAGAGGCTCAGGACCAAATATATCGAGGAGATCCCCTTCCTCAACTCTGACTTTAACCCAGCTGAGGTCTAGTGAGTGTTGGCCGAACAGATCACTCACTTCTATCTGTTTCCTACAGTCAAACTGTGTTCATCAGTGTCATTCTAAATGTTTCCTTCTCCTCATGTTGGCTGCCCTCCACAACCTCTTGTTCTGCACATTTTTTTCAGCGTGCGCTCCACGAACATTGTGAGAACCATCGAATCTGCCAAGTGCCTGGTCGCAGGGCTGTTTCAGCAAAAACAACAAGGTAGTGTACAAACCCAAATGTGCTTGGTTTTACTTTTCTATTCTTATCTCACTTGTTTGTAATTCTTTGCTCTACTCAAAGGAGTCCTTCATATAGAAACATCGGAGGCAGATTCTGAAATCCTGTATCCTAATTTCTATGGATGCAATTTGCTGAAAATCCTTGGCGGGTACGTCCAGTAGATTTTTCAATTTCAAAACTCACAGTGAGCCTTGGACCATCTTAAGCATTCACTCTGCAAGCAGTGTAAGCCTGAATAATGTGTGGTGCAAAATTACGAGCAGAGTTGAGATGCCTCTGACAGGTTGTCAAGGTGTATCTTTGTTCTGCGGCTGACACTGTGTGTTGTGTGCAGACACCGCTGGGCAGAGTCGGTCACTCTGCCAGACATTGCAGCAGACCTACAGAGCCTGCACAAGGAGCTGGGCATCCCTGCTCACCAGCATGTCGACTTCATCCTCATTAGAGACGACATGGTTGCCAGAGAGGTGACGCTGCCGCATCATGATTCATACCGCATTTATTTAGGTCTCAACACTAGCTCTCAGTGTTTGTATGATTAAGACTTAGCCTATGCTGCAGCCTGGACAAACTGGTAGTTAGGGTAAGATGAAACCAGGTAATTGTCTAAGACGGGTTTTGAGTTTCAGAGAGTGACGTTGTTTCTTCATGTCTGTCAATTATTCACCCGTCAATCACTTACAAGAATCATTTTCTAAAGGTCAGGTTACTTGGAAAAATATCACAGTTAAAATTTAAATTTAATTTTAGATTTAAGTAGGTTTGTTTTTCACAAACCAAACTCAGGGTTGGAACATGGAGAGGAAAAAAAACATTTGTTTTGTTTAGCAAATTAAACAAAATCTTACAGAATGGTTTTATTTAAAATATTAATATAATAATAATAATAATAATGGATTTATTATGACCATACTGGGGACGTCGGTGCTGCCTTCACATGACAAGTTTGGATTTTATAAGTTAAACGTGTATTAAAAGAGCATTAGCTTGCTTCAGTAGTATTTAGCTGTATTAGAATAGCTATTTAAGCCACGACAAGTAAGAATATAAAGAATAATCATGCTTTACACCCTGCTAACAATACAAGAAGGCTAAAA